TTTATTTAATTGCAGATTGCGGGTGGCACACACACAAAGACCAAAGGGAAAAAAATTCAAAATCTAGCCAATCACATCCCTTCTGGGTTGTGGAAGCTCTGTCTGCTCTGAAAAGGTGTTTCTGATTTCCTCTGAAATACTCCAACTGAGAAATCCTGGAATGCTCTGTCTGATCCTAAAATTGATCCTGAGAACAGTTGAACACTTGGATGAGTTGGCTACTTGCTCTCAAGTTGGGAGGACAGCATGGAGGAAGGTGAGAGTTTGCTCTTTATGTCTTTAGGGTTTCACCCAATTTGTCCCAGAACCATGCCACCAATTGAGCAGATTTTGGCTTTAGATGGTGCTTTTTTGTAGTCAATGTATCTAAAAATGTTCCACAGCCAAGGATCATTAAAACAGGGGTGCTAAATCGTAGGACTCAAGGAACGTCCATCTCAGTGACAGGAAGGTTTGATGACAATTTCACTGAGTTTTGTTGGTCTGGGTTAGACTGGATTATTGTATGTCATGTTAATTTAATCACACAATAGGGTTATTTATGAACATGCAAAATTTATTTAGTCCTTGATAAAGTAACTTTCACTAAAAAAAAATTGTACTTTTAATTTGGGCTTTTTCTCTTTTTCCTATCAGTACTAATAAAAGTACTTGGTTATTTGTATATTTCATCACAATTTAATTAAAAGATGTTAATTTTAAATAGTGGTCATGTAGGTGTTTTTAGGGCATGTCACGCAATAGTCCAGTCATGAATAACTTTGTGACTGGACCAGGCTGAAAACATAAATATTTCAATTAACCATACTTACGTAAAATTGAAAATATTTAAGCAAATCAGGTTTATGGAGTTGAAAATCACAAAGAATTTAAAATAAAGGGGGATTTAGGAAACAAATATTTTTTTTATGCCTGCTTTCTGTTGTTAAACTTTCATTTTGTTAGCTTAGAACTTAGTTCAAGACTTGTTCGGCTTTGTTTGTTGATTGCCCGTTTCAGATCACAGACATCCTCTGGTGAATTGTTCTTTTGTTTTCTCATTCAGTTATTCCTTTGCACACATGAACATATCTTTAAGATTTAAAGCGAACAATTCCCTGAAGACATCTTGTGATTTGAAAGAGTCAGTAAACAAAGTGAGCTGAATGTAAATAATTAAAACCTTTCGCGTCATTTTTTTCCCACTTAAAATCAACTTAAACTTTTGCCTCAGCTAACACAAGTGAAAGTGGCATTTGATTTTTTTAATTTAGATAAGAGAGAGTCCTGGTATCAGTATCTTCCCTGATTAGAGACCTTTTGTGACTTTGTGCTCTTTGTTGTCTTTGTGATGTGTTTGGTGAACTCAGACTGGTGAGATTGGCATCTTTCCTCGCTTTCACTACCGATGTACTGAAATTGGGCACCGCAGGATAGCACCTCGGGTTTTTTTGTCCAGGTTGGGAACCTTTTCTAACTCAAATGAGTTTTTACCAAATTTATTACTGGATAGTGAACATGATTTTTTTTTTAATGGCACTTTGGCAAATCAATTTAGCTTTTTGGTACATTGACTTGCAATTCAGCACCTTCATTAAAATTCCATTTGGCATTTTGTTTTTTTTTTCCTCATGAATATTCCAAATTGATTGGCTGTGGTACTGTGACAAATCAGAAACCCTGGAGACATGGGAGCAAACTCTCACTTTCCTTTACCCTGTCCCCCCTACTTGAGAGCAAATGGCTATCTCCACTAGGTGTACAACTGTCTCCCGCATGAAGTAAAGAATCAGACAAAACAGACCAGTAATTTAAAGTTGGAATAACAAATGAGCATTGTAAAAGAGAAGCACAGTGGAAACAATCAGAGAACAGGGAAAAGATTGGCTAAATGTTTTTTTTTTATTTTTTCTTTAATTGTGTAATGACTTAGACAGAAACATTTTTATTTCCTCAATAAAATACTTTTGTCTAACTTTGCAGGTTAGAATAAACAAAGTAAACACCTCAAAATAAAGCCAGGTTCAGTTTAAGTCTCAACAAAACTTTGTGGTACATGACATAATATGCTGTTAGTGCAAATTTTTTAACCAAAACTTTTATGAACATTTATTGTAACAATCAGGCAAGTTTTGAGTCAATCTCAATTGTACCACTAAGTGTTATTGAGACCTCAAGAATTACTTACTGTGAACATATCTTCAGTCCTCTCCTCTTTAAAAAACTTTCCCTTAGAGTCTTCTTGGCTCTAACTCTGGGGCATTTCAATTGCCAAAATCTTACAAATATTGTCGCAAAAATCTTGGGTATAATCAGTCTTCTTCTTACTTATATTGTTATTGCATGTAGGAATGAGACTTTAAATTGTTTAAGGACTGAAGTACTCATATTACATTATCTTTAAACCTCTTCTTTTCCTCAGTGAGCACAGGAGAGTCACAACATATATTTGTGTTAATCTGGAGTTTTAGTCGATTAACAAAAAATGAATTCAAAGCAAATTTTGATCAAAGTTAAAGGCCAAATGAAATATTTTTAATTTCACAAAGAAGCTTTATAACTGTGGTAAGTAAAATTGTTCTCATATATCTGCAAAGTTTGGTTTCTTTTTGGTTTACATGTTTTGTATCAAATTTTGTATTTCTAAGCAAAATTTTCAGTTTTTGGTTGTGTCAAACTGTGGCCAATATACTTCAGTTCCAAGGTTCTTTTCTTTTCCTTTAGTTGTGAAAGAAGGAATAAAGGACAAATAAATTGAAAATGAAAGAATTCTTATGTGTAAACCAATTTAAGTGATAGGTGACATTGTCTTAGTAATGCCTCATACAATCTGTCATGCAGTGGAAAGCATATTTTTTTATTGTTAATAGAGGACCCACCAATTAATTTCATCCCTCCAAATTGTACTTTAATCCAAATATATCAAAATTTATATATCACAATTTATCTCACTGAGGAAAAGGCATAGAGCTTTTAAGAAAACAGCCATGAGGTTTCACAGTAAATGAAATACAGTCAAACCATCCATAAATGACAACCAATGAAATACTATTATGTATCTTAGAGTAAAGTAGGTGATCTGGTTTCAATTTTGCAGAATGAGAAAATGTTTTGGAAATTATAAAATTAGCCAAGGAAAATTTATGTTCTTTATGAGGCATAACAAAACTATAGTTTTATAGTTTTGGGCCATAGAGAAATGAAGGTGAAATTCTGGCATCACGTTCCCTATCAGCATCTATTTAATCAACCCTTGTATAGAGGTTTTGCATGGCAGCCATGTTGGATGGCAGGAACAATGAAAATATTTTGCATTAGAAAGAAATTTTTTCCCATGGGTAAAATAATCTATTGTTCCTGCCATCCAACATGGCTGCTGTGCAAAACCTCTATTTCTTTTTATGGGATTTATTTGCTTGCAAACAGTTCAGTTCATCATAGCAGCGATAAGCTAGTCTCATTCACCTATATGAAACTTTGTTATTCTAATCCAAGGCCTTACTCAGAAAAAAATCTCCATTGGCAATGAAGTATTTTCAGTGAACGTTTACAACAGCTAGCTCTCATCAAGAAACTCACCATTTGGACAAAAAGATTTGTTCTCGTAGTTCTTTTTCCAGTTTAGTTGTCTCAAATGTCTCTTAGGCTCAAGTCTCAAATGGTCATATGGTCGATTGCATACATTAGATTTAATAAATATGATGTCGTAGTTCCTTTAGTTTCTGTAAGATTGTCACCAGGAAGGTTTAACTGTATCAAACAAACTAGACATGCAATTTATCATGGAACCATGCTCTAGATGGACATTAAAGTGGGAGGGAAAAAAAGCAGGACCCAGCCCTTCTGTTATATTTTCATATTCTTCTGTTTTATCAGGCTTATTCTCTCACCTTTTGGACACTACATAAACCCAGGAAAAACAGACTCGAGAGAGAGAGAGAGAGAGAGAGAGAGAAATGAGTCGGGTGGGAAAAGGATGAAATGGATAGAATTACTAATACCCCATTCACACCAAAGCTTTAAACAGCTGTGTTAATGAACATAGAAGCTGCTCTCACCAATGTTTGTTGACTTCAAATTTAGCACAATGAAAAATAGAAAAAAAAAATGAAAAGTTAGTGACTTCTTGAGACCTATGGAAAAATCATTTTTCATTTCTCTGTTTCTGACTTTCATTCATTTAAACCCAGTTTAATTTAACATGTATTGCTGGTGTGAATGGGCTATTACATTACTTTTGTGTCTTTTTCTGTGCTCTGAATGGTTACTTCTTGTCTATGAGGGCAACTTCTGTAACTTCTATTTCTTCTTCAAAGTAAATTACACTGATGACCTTCACAAGTTCTTAAACCCATTAAAATTTTACATGACTGAGAATGATTTTGAATTTATGATTTTTTCAAGTGGCACTGCTTTCCTTTGTATAACAATACGGATGAAAAAATAAACTTTGCTCACATTGCTGAAGAATTCAAATATTCCTCAAGAGAGGATTTGGCCTCTCATGTCATTCAAAGTTTGAACCCTTGCTTAGCTTGACAGCTTAGAAAGTAAAGCATCACTCTGGTATTACAAGAGTCGTGCATTTTCAATTCTGTCAAACTGTGTCTGTGAAATCCTGCTTGGTTTCCTCTCTCATTTTCATAAATTTAAGATTTCACAGTGAAGATCTCTCTGTTACTTTAAGTCAATTGCAGGTATTCTTAACTGCAACCCTCTGGACCAATTTTGTATATAGATTACATATGATTTTCTTTACGCAAAAAATGACAAAGCCAGTTGATAGAAAGTATCTCAAGAAGTCAGATAATTTCGTTTTGACAGCACATTGAAATTTTTTATTAATATAAACTGTCTATAGATCCAGTGAAAAAAGTGAATCACTACTGACTGATTAATGGAGAACCAAGGGAGGGTGGAATGAAGAAGACTGCATTGAATTTTGCAAACAGAGAGAATTACACATGGAATCTATGATAAATTGCATGTCTGATGTGAATCTAGAACTGAACTTGGCTTATACAAGGGCTTAGTTTACCTGTTTAACCCAGAGGTGGAATTGTAAACTTAAAGAAACATGACATTACAGCCACAGTCTGATCCCTGGAGCTCTATGGTCTTCTGCCTACTGCCTGGTCTACCTCATCCATCTCTCCATCTTTTAGCATTTATCCTGTGACATGAAATGTCCCTCCATTACTTTCTTTGTCAAGGTTCAAAATTGATGCTTAAGTCAACAACTACAACATCATTACAAAATATTGAGAGAGAGAAAGTAAAATTATTACATGAAATCTGCCTTTCTGACATATTGTTTAATTGAAATCATAATGTGTCATGTCAATTTCAGCACAGTTTAACGGGGTAGTCCTGCTAACCCCATTTAAATCAGGCTTTTCAAACCAGTGCTTTCAAAACTGTATCATAACTCAATGCCATACATGCACAAGTGTTAGTCATTCACTCATTCATTTATCAATTCACTCAATCATCAACTCTTGAATTTCATAAAATCATTCCTTCATTAAGTCATTCATTCAGCCAGACCATCATTCAGTCTGTGTTCATGTCATTTGATCATTATGTTTGTGTGGTAGTCAGTAATTTTAACATACTGACAGTCTATCAGTCCTGTTAGATGTCCTAGTAAAACCTAGCAGGCTTAGTTGGGGGTAGAGAAGGGGAGAACATATGAAAAATTGTTTTGGTTTAGGACCTTTTACCCGCATGGTAGTTGATTTTCTTTTCAAAATTGTTGATCTCACAAGAAAGCAAAGCTGTTTCTTAAATTTAACAATGGCCCAGTAGAAAAAAAATGGCCTGCAGACAACTATTTTTTAAGTTTTAACATATTTATCATTGACACTATTATTTAAGTTTAAGATGTTATCTAAAATAATCCTAGTTAGCCTTATTGACTGTAAATACAGCATTCAAGGCGAATATAAATGCCATACATGAGTGCAAATGTTACCTGTTCGGATGCAGAAAAATATTTGTTTCAGGTAAGCACTGATCCACTGCTGCAATTGATGTTTTCCAACTCAAGCCTTCAAAAAAAGTAAATTCAGTTTAGAAATACTCAGCACAAAGTGCAAACACTGAGAACAAACTTTGAGGAAAACGCAGAATTAGGTCAATTGAAAAGTCTTCAAAACGTCTCTGGCCGCAAAGCCACCTGGACGACTGTCAATCCAAACACTTGCACAGAGTGACAAGGTGTATTATCTGGACCACAAAACCGTTCTTGATTCTTGCGAAGAAAAGGCCATACAACGAAGAATGACTGGGATACTCTTTTTGCTTTCCATAAGCAGAAAATGCTAATCCATTAACTCAAACAGCAAGATCGACTGCACCAAAGATAACTCATTACTAAGAATACATTAACTGTCGAAACTTCTCAAAGTTTAGAAAAAATTTTCTTAACTATATCCAGGGGATATTTGCAGGTTGAAAATAATCCACCAGTTTCAGTTCAAGCTCACATAATTTTAGCTACGTGTTACAAGAATCACAAGAGTGTCGTCCATAATGGACGACGCTCTTGTGAATTTTGTAATTTTGTAATTGATTTTTGTACATCATGTCGGAGCGATGTCGATTTCGAGTTTAAATCTTTTGAAAGAAGCTTAACTCTTTCAAAAGAAACAAAGAGAATTAAGTTCAATACTTTTCAATAAGAAGAGAAGTACAAAAACTATTTAAATAATTAAAGGACGAATAACAAACCTCCAGAAAGAGCAAATTCGAGCCCAACATAAAGTCTTTGGGTTGGGCACTCTGAACTACGACGGCTACTTCGTCCCCGAAAAAGTTCACACTCGCAAAGGGTCATGGGACAGGTTACAAACGTAAATAGTAGACGCGAAACTCTGTATCGTATGATAAAGTTGTGTTTTAATTTATGTATCTAGAGTTTTGATCTGGCAAACCTAAATTTTTAAAAGTTAGAAAATCGTAAACTTGCCAATAAATGAAAAAAAATAATGATGATAAGAAAGATTAAAAAAGAAATCAAACAAAATAAAAGGGCGGGACCAGTATCGCAGCAGAATGTTCAACCCCTTGCGCTTCAGGGAACTCGCCTTGAATGAAGAGGTAAATTTGAGAGTGTTTATAACAAGTGGAGTACGTGCTGCTAGGAAAAAGAGCAAAACTGTGCAAAACTGAATGTTTTTTTTCTCTAAAATGACGTAACTATATATACACAAACTTTGCTGTTTGATTAAAAATTGTTTAAATTCAGCAGCGTACCAATGCATAACCTCAGTTTGAGACTCTGGTAAAAGTGTTAACTTACCCATGGGTGAAATAATACCCTGGCTAATGTACAGAAATACATAAAAAAAAAAAAAAAGGTATGCAAAGACATTCCAGAGTATTTAGAAGCTGACTATGAAATGGGAAAAGATCAAACCATCCAGATAAAGATTAAAAAACGAATGAAACAAAAAAAGTCAAGTTCCCCTGGACCGATGTTAATCTAGAATTGAAGAGTGCGAGCAAAGAGTAACCTTGTCCTTAATTGATAAAATAGTTAACTAATGCACCAAAATAAAAAGACCAGTATAAAATGACATTCCATGATATGTGGTAGCATAGTTAGGTAGAAGCTAAATTTAAAATGGGAAATACAACAAATTATTCAAAAAAAGAATTAAAAACTGAAATCAAACAAAAAAGCGGCAAGTTCCCCGTGAACACGATCAGCACCTGTATGGAACCGCTGTGGCGGTAAAATGTTCAACCCACTGCGCTGCGGGGAACTTACCTTGAATGGAGAGCAAATTTTAACTTTATATGTAACAAGTGGTGTATGTGCCGCAAGGATCAACGACCATCAACTGCACAAACATTCTGATAAAATACGTATTTTGACTGTAGGATGACATTTCAACAAAAACTCTGCTATTAGCCAGTTTAATAGTGTGGTGTATGTACTGCAAGGATCAACGACCATCAACTGCACAAACATGCATCCTGATAGAAAAAAAGTGTTGTGGCTGTAAGATGACATTTCATCAAAAACTCTGCTATTAGCCAGTTTAGGAATGATTACTGAAATAAAGTGGTGTTCAGATGCATGTCCTCCATTTAAGAGTGTAACAAAAGTGTTAACACTAATGTATTGAAGTGAAATAAGGAGTATCCAAAAACACACCAGAGCTTGGTGTAAAATGGGAATAGGAACATATCATCAAAAAAAAGGGAAGGTTAAAAAAAGAAAATGAAACAACACGGCAAGCTCCCCGGAACAGGATCTTAATCCTGTTTCCCATGAGGAAAAAGTGTTTTGACTCACTCTAGTATCACTATTTTATGAAATTTAAGCAGTTGGTTTTATTATGTCGGTGGTAATGAATTAAGTAAGTCGTGGGCAAAAAATGATCAGCAATGGGTTAAGGTATTTATGATGAGCATCGTACGTGTCGGCAAAAAGTTAAGACTTTCGAGACTGCAATTGGTTAGCAAGGTTTATTCAGACCAGGTAAGTATGATTTTAAAACTGTTTCTAATAGATATGAATATACATTTGAATAGGTAAGATAGTTTTCTCATAATGTATCATTTGCTTTACAGTAAGGGATATAATAAATAGATATCAAATTCGTAAAACAGGCCGCATTAAGTTAGTCTTGCTAACTGAATGCCAATACTAGATACTAGCTCCAAATACTGACCGGCACCTAATTAACAAATGGTAAACACCACAGCGTACACTATAGAGTTATGGATGTACGCGAGAGGTTGCTAAGCACGAAAGAAGCGTAAGAGTCGCTCGAGGCGATAGCCGAGAGCGACTCTAGNTTACCTGTCACCTCAGGAGTCCCACAGGGTTCTCTACTTGGACCTGCTTTATTTGTGTTGTTTATTAATGATATGCCGAGTGCGTTATCTCACTCAAGCACATTGGCTCTGTTTGCTGATGACGCTAAGTGCTTCCGCACCATAAGATCTTATGCTGACTGTGCCTTGCTACAAGACGAAATTGACAAGCTGGTTGACTGGAGTAACAACTGGAAGCTGGCCTTCAATGTTGACAAATGCTCACTTTGCACAGTAACACGGAAACGCAGCCCCATAATTTGCAACTACAGAATGGGAGAGAAGGCTCTTAGCAGGGTGAGAGCCCAGCGCGATCTCGGGGTACTTATGTCAGATACAGCTAGCTTCAATGATCACATCCAAGCCCAGGTAAACAAGGCTAACAAAATGCTGGGTTTTATTCGTCGCACTATCAGCGGAAGCAAAATTTTATTACCAACTCTGAGATCCCTTTATGTGGCTCTCGTACGTTCTCACCTTGAGTACGCCTCTGAAATCTGGAGCCCAAAATCAATTACTATGATAAAAAGAATAGAAGGGGTGCAACGACGTGCGACTCGGCTTATGTTACCCGATTTTAGCTATAATGAACGCCTAAAACGTCTCAACCTGCTACCACTGGTTTACCGCAGAGAAGTCAAGGATCTTTCAACTTTTTATAAACTGAAGTGCGGGCATTTTAACTCTTCACTTAAGTCGTATTTTCAATTTTGTTCAGATGAGAGATTAAGATCGCATGCAAGTAATAAACTAAGAATTAATAGATTCAGGACGGAACTTTTTAAGGGAACATTTTTTAATAGGATTCCGTATCTATGGAACAATCTGCCTGATGCGTTGAGGACGGCTAGCTGTAGTGTTTCTTCTTTTAAGAGACTATGCACTAATTTTTATAACGATAGGGTTTTCGACCCTGAGCACCCATGTACCACCTGGGCTAAACCAGCACTTAGTTAGTAAGGTTGTTAGTTAGTAAGTTAGTTAGATTACTCAGTTAGGTAGTTAGCAGCTAGCCAGTTACATACCTTGATTAAGTTTTTTATATATCCGTATATTTTTTTCATAATGGGTTGACTAGCACGTATGGTTCGTCAGTTCCCTTCTAGTCTTCCCCACTGCCTTGTTATGTAACCCAATTTGTTATTATTGTGTGTTCTTTTGTTTTATTTTCCCATGTAATTGCAGTGAAATGGAATAAATAAAAAAAATAATAATTTGTCATGACAGTATTGCTCCTGAATTAAACGTTGTTGTCATGAGAATGTAGGAAGTGATCGTCGTTTTAGGAAGCTCTTGATCGTTTCACAAATTCTTTTGTTCGGTTACAATGGAAATGTATGTAGAACGGAATGGAGAATATACATGCTGATGTTTGGGAAAAGCATACTCAAGAGATCATGTCTACGGTATCTTCAGGCCGTCTTCAATATGGAAGCGGCCACAAGGGACCTTTTAATAGATCATTTTATATGAAAACATTTGAAAGGGTTGTATGTGATGTACACTTTTTGATTTCGGAAATAAGAATTATATGGTTTATACTTTTGGTATGACAAAATACTACCTCGTAGCTAAGGACCACAAAAATCTGTGTTTCAGTAGATAGTTATAAACCTATTGAAAAAAAAGTAAAACAGCAACAAACTCGGAGAAAGAAGAGTTTACCACCGTTTTCTCTAGATTTTTTCCCATCTTACTCCCACATTTCGCGCAAACTAAAGCGTGTTGACATCCTATCAGGTTCTTGCAATTTACGGCCAGAATTACAAGAACATCGAGGACTTTTTTTGCAATTTTTGAATTAGATACATTATCCAAGAGAAATTCAGATCATAAATAAAGAAATTTTTGTCAGTTTTATGCTTGTCCTTCCTTTCTTGTTGAAATAGTTTATGGCATAAATGAGTTAATGTGAAACGGGTAAAATATTATACTCTTAACAGCCTCTTAGCTAGTCTCCCTCGCAGCCGTTTTTACTCTCGTCACGTTTTTACTCTCGTTTGTGGGAAGGAGCGTTGCGTGACAAGACTGAAAACGGCTGCGAGGGAGACTACCTCTTAGCAGGCTTTAAGATAAATAGATTATTCAATGCAGTTGAGTTTTTTAAATACGTATTTTGTGCTTGCTCCTGAGATCAGAGACAAACAGCTCACGGAGGGAGTTTTTAACTGCTTACTTTGACCCTCATAAGTATTTTAGAAACTATATGTGGGGTTAAATAACCACCGTAGATAACTTTTAACCCTTTCACTTCCAAGATCTCGTCAGTAATTCTCCTTACTGTCTGCCAAACAATTGTTATGATGCTACTTCTGAGAGTTTGGCATTGGATCAACTTATAATCTAATTTGTATTTTTCTATATTTCCATCACTTGTCTGCTTGATATTCGGTACTGATATTGCAAGGAGAAATTCCGTCTTGGTCACTCATGGGAGTTCAAGGAATAATTAATTGGGCGCGAATAGAGGATCGTAGTTATCTGAAGTGGAACCGAACTAAAATTGGGCAATATTTTTATACCGAAACAGTACATTATTACTTAATGAACGGGTAAAGTTATAAACTATTCACTTTTCTCTCTTTTTCCAACGCGAAAGGAGGAACATCAGGCGCGTTTGCTGAGGAACGTAGAATGTCACATCGGCAGTTCGTTTCACGAACTCGCTGTCACTTTTTGGTTTATGTTATACTAACTCCCGATCTTCGACATCATCGTAAACATTTCTTCCGTTGTTAGACAGGTCAGATGATATTTCAATCTCGGTCCTTGGTTATGTTTTGTCGCAATCTAAGCCACAATCTAC